TGCTTTCTGGCTAGGATATGTAGGTGCAAAGGAGAACAAGAAGACTTCCTAACCTTGCAATAATTGTATAAAAGAGGTGAATCCACATTTTCAGCTGCTCCTATCTCTGCCTTACCACATCTATCAAATCTCTCTTTTTCACATAAGATGAGAGGTAACACTGCAGTATTGTTGACCTCTTTGATACATGGACATCAATCAAAAAGGGAGGCTAAGCTGCTTGTACAGATCCATCGTTATCTGTAGAACAGGTCCTTGTCTTGAAAGCTTCAAAAGAAGCAGCTACCATCTCTGATGCAACAGGAGGAAACAAGCAAAGGTCAGATATTGCAAAGTACTGTATATAGTACTTTGGCCTCTGTGTTTGTTGGTCCAGATAGGTTGAAATTGAATTTGCAAAGTTTTCAAGGAAGTTACAATGGTCAGCTCCATTCTCTTTCCATTTTACCTTTTATCTTCCTCTCACTCCAACACATGTAAACACAGGTGCAGGCTTTGCAATCTTCTTGCCATTCTCTGGTTATGAAATTTATTTTACAGTATTAGATTATTTTCTCTCTTCTACATATGCCTCTGTACTGAGGAGCAATTGACATTTTGTTGTGTTTAGTGAGACCTGGAAAAGTTTAGATTCTGATGTAAGTTAAAGGTGCAGCATAGACTGACAGAAATAATAGAACTTGAAAATAAGTCTAATTTAAATAGACATGCAATGTGATTTCGACTAAGATAATCTACTATTTAACTACTGATTATAATAGACTAACTAAGCCTGTAGTTCTAAAACACCTAAGGGAAAGACTCCAAGTCAAACTTGATTCCTAGTGGCTACTTGGACATGTCCATATGTAATTTTTTGAGCAAGAATATGAAACGGTTTATGCTTGCAGGATGTTTTTTTCAACTTCCCAGTCTAGCCTACAGTCTGGGGATGTCCTGGTGCCCTCCCATTTAAGCATTAACTAGGTTTAGTGCTGCTTAACCTTTTCCAAGTTTAGCCAAGGTTGGCTAGGTGCTGTGACCATGGAGCCAATCATGTTGAATCTATTCACATGGAACAGCATGAGCCAGGATTCTGAGCATTTGGGCTTTCTGTACTGTGTCCTCGTGCATGCACTCTGTTCATAGTTTCCTTCTACTATTTGAAGTGGGTAACTAAACCAGAAATAACTTACTTAACAATTTCATCTAAAATGGAGGTCTTTATATATTTATATTTATTTATTATGTTCTTTATAAGGCAGCATTATAAACCCAGTTCTTGATCTGCCAGTTCTAACTTGCTTGATAACAAGAAGCCAAGTTTCTTCCTTGGTGTGTACTGTATGTATGTATGTATGTATGTATAAATAAATAAAATTATTCCTTGGGATGACATATCAAGAAAAAACAATGCTAGGAGCTAGTTTCTGTTAAACCAAGATTCTACCCACTCCTGGACTTAACATCCAGATAGACCAGGTTGGGACGACGCTGGCATAAAAATGTGATTCAGTTAGCAGCTTTAAGGAGACCGAAAAGGATTGGCAGTTCCTTGCATGCCAAGTTGAAAATAAATTATTTTAGAAGTAAAAAGGGTATTGCGCTTTAGAATGGATGTAGCCTTTCTTTCAAGACCTCCAGTTTGTAACTGAGGAACCTTTTCAAGAGTCTAGAAAGGAAGGAGGTTCCTTAGAGGTGATTCTGTAAGGAATTTATTGCAAAAGGAGCAGCTGCATCTTGTCTTGGATTTCAGAGCTGCCTTTCCTTTTCTGTCTCCAGTGTGGCTGCAGGAAGTTCAGAAGCAATGGTTTCCCGTTTTTAAACTACTGCTTATTATTTGGCAAGCTCTGGCTAATGTTAATTGTGGTTAGCATGCTTAATCTCAGCCTCCGTTCAACATTTGCATGAAATGTTCCCTGTAAGAGGAAAGGGGATAACAGGAAAGCTCAAGGTTCTCTGTAGTGCGTTCTGGTCTTTTAAACTATGGTTAGTGGCATGTTTGATGTTTGAGCCAGGATGGCCTCTTATTATGGGAATTTAAATTCGTTTGGTTATCAATCCAGCAAGAAACCACTAATGCAGAAAGACCTTCTATCACCGCAGGGGGGCTGGGTAACATAATAGATCCATTGTCTGGTAGATCTTTCAGTTTCAGGATGAACTGAAGTTGGCTTACAAATAGTTTAAACAAAATAATCAGAGAACCATTACAAAGCAACCGGTAGGGTGATGCTATTCAGCTCAGCCTTGTTTTTCTTCAGAGACAGTGATGAGCATTTGCTTCCTGTTTTTTGGAATGCTTCCCATGTGTTCTTGAGGCCCTTAAGCTTTTGTGCTTAATTAACTATTGTTTTAGTGACTGCTACTGATCAAACTTATTAAATACAAGAAAATAAATTTACCAGGCCCATTAAGGCGTTCTAAATATATTGTACTAGACTCTTAACAAGGAAGTTACCAAAACACCAGTATATCGAGATGGTTTTTTTCAGTAAGCACTACCTCTGGTGCACCTACTGATGCCAATGCAAGCTTCAATTGAGTGACACTCTGAGAGCAGGGCACCACCTGGAAAGTTAAGTCATATAACAGTCCTGATAAATTGAAGCATCTTACATTGTTTGTTTGTTTTGACATAGATTAAAAATTTAAATTGAAGAAATCTTTTTAAAAACAGGATGGGCAGGGTAACATGTTGTGGCATGATGATACATTGTGGCATGATTAAACATATATTGTTTAAATTGGTTCAATGTTTGGGGAGGCTTGCTTGGAGACGGATACATAGCAGCCAGTGACCACATGGGCTTAGTACAGCAGTTGCAACCATAATGTACAAATTGTGCGCATAAATTGGAGAACGTCTGAATTTGTTTCTGTCAGTGATCTTAACATACTTCCTTGAAACCAAGTGAAATTTCTTGAAAATCTTTACAATTTAATAGGTGTTCAGCATAAACATTAGACATTTCATAAGTCATCATCAGAGCATCTGAATAAATGCAAACAGAATTGCAGACTCGGTATTGGTCTATATCTGCTGTCCTGTTTTGTCCTGAATTTGTCACTCTTGACTGGTCCAAACTGGTCATTTCTTCTGTCTTATTTATTTCATAGCTACCTTTTGTATTTGGATCACTTTACAGATTGTATTTTTACATGAATTCCTAAGGTTTTCTAAGCGTGACTAAAACAAGCCCTTGTTTGGAAATAAAACTGTTGTCAAGATGCAACAACTTGGTCTGGTTGCAGCATTCTGGTATTTGTATGTGGCGTAAACTTGGTTAGTCTTTATGTTAGAGTGTAAATTGCTCTTGAATGATGACTTTTAGAAACATTATTTATTTCTGTGAAGCAGAGCATAACTTAGGAGCCACACTCAACTAAATCAAAATTGTCTTTGTGTACAAGTTTAAATTTCGGAAGCCTAGTAAATACCATATAGTCAAAAAAGAGGGCCCTGTCCTCAACCATCTTTGGAAGGAGATTAGTGGCAGGCCCAGCAAATCAGTGATGCATTTTTATTTGATGATAATTCACTCCTGGCCTGAGGCTGGAGTGTAATGGCAGAATCAATGGCCTGATCAATAGTTTAAGAGGGAACCAGCACTTTGCTAACAGAAAAGCAGCCTGCGGGAAAGCACAGAGAAGCGGATGGTTGGCATAGAGGCTTTGTAGCAATCAGGATAAATGTCCAGGGAAGGAAATGGATTGAGCCATTGTAAGGGGGGCTGTGTGGCCTAGAGAAGCACTGATCAGTAATTCATTGGGAGGTACTGAATTCCCCACCACCACATGCACTATAAATAAAACATAACCAGCTATTTGAATTAATATGTTTAAGGGATTCATTTATGCATGGAAAAGCATAGTGACAAGTTAAATGCAAGTAGTGTAAGATCTTCTTCAAGTCAAGTTCAAGTCCTGTTGATTTCATCCACACATCTGTGTAGGTTTTTTTGGCAAAAATAAAGTGGTTTTGGGATGTTTTTCCAACTTCCTCATCTAGCCTACAAAACTGATGTTTTCTGTTGGTCTACCATCTGAGTACTAACAAACCTGGTGCTCTTTCTTAGTTTCTGAGCTCAGGCAAGGCTGGTCAGGGGAAGGCAATGTTTATTCTGCTGAGCACAGCATTCCTGTAGCAGTAATTTTTTGGAAGCTCCATCACATGGAAATAGTAGACTAGTGTGAACAAAGTGGGGCCATCATGCACTTCCTTTTTTCTAGCATCCCCTTTCTTTTTTTCTTCTCCATTTCTTTCTCTTTTTTCATTGCATAAAATCTGCTTGAGTTCTCTGTAGAGGTCTGTGCCATGGCCACTCTCACAGAAGAATTTTTTATCCACTACCTTGATCTAATCTCTGTAAAACCATAACTCCAAAACAAATATACCCTGTTGCAGGTGACATACACTGTATTACAATTTATTCTGTAGCAAGTACCCAGGATAGTGATGCTTCTTCTCCAGGATATGCTGCCTTTGATTCTGGCTCTTTCTAGATAATCAGTGATCTCACAGTTGCTGAAGGAAAGGTCTCTGCTTTGTTATGGTGTATGATTAAAAATACCTCCCACGCTTTTATTGCTTTTACTATTTCGGTTGCAACTACTTGTAAAATGTAGGGGTTGAGCCTAAAACAAACTCACCAGGATCACAGCTTAACATTCCATGACCATTTCTACTTACAGGCCATGTTTCTGTTTTCTTTTCCAACCTTTCTGAGAACTTCTATAGCAATAACTCAACATGGATGCGACTTGTGAGATCACTGCTGAATGTTGTAACTATTACCTGCCTTCTGTCTGGTCAACCAGTGCTCTGTGGGAGGAAAACAGGCTACTTAAAGTGATTTCTAGGTAGACTAGAAAAGAAACTCATCTGATTGAGCCAGACAAGCACAACCCATTCCAACAGCTCTTAAGTTGCAAATGAACAATGTCATATAGGCTGCTGGATTTGCCTCCCATCCTTCATAACCGTAACACCTTTCCCTCCTCCCTCTTGTTTTCAGCAGATAATCAGCACAATGGAGACCCAGGTGTCCAACGGCCCCACAAGCAACAGTTCCCTCCCCAATGGGCCACTGATCAGTGCCAATGGGGCCACTGATGATTCCAAAACTAACCTCATAGTCAACTATTTGCCCCAGAACATGACACAAGAGGAATTCAAGAGTCTCTTTGGAAGCATCGGAGAGATTGAATCATGCAAACTGGTTCGAGACAAAATCACAGGTAAGACTGTACACGTGTGTGTGTATGGTTGATAAAGGAGGAAAAATTGAGATAGAAAGATAATCTGGTTCAATTCATGAAAGCCCATGAAAATGCAGACAGGTGTTGGGGAATCTCAAAGAGCTTGTGAGATTCTGGGGAAAAGTTCTGTGCTGCCATACGCCAACTGTGCAGCAGCTATGGAAAACAAGTCCCATGCTATCGATTATTTAGAAAGGGCATAAAAGCTTGCCAGTATTGTGTTATATTAGAACAAATCTTGGGTACAGCTTAATTGTAAACTGTACACATGCTGCTGCTATCACCCCGCCTCCAAAATGACCCACAGAGCTGGAAAGAGATAAGAAAAGGGTAACTTAAGGAACACTTTCCCCAAAGGAAAATAGTAATATATTAAAGAGTAAACACATAATAGATGTATGGAATTCACTGCTATTTAAAATGTGATAATTAATGTGCGTGGCAACTTTTATAACTAATAAGGGTATGCAAGGAAGATTATTAATGGTTGTTGGTAAAGATGTATATAAAAAACCTCCAGATTAAAGGTAATATCCTTCAAATACCAATTACATAGTAGAAAATGCTACTTGCTTGCTTGAAGAATCCAGAAATATCTGACTGACTTTGTGGAAAGTCCATGATGATGGATTAAAAGGATCTTTCATTGGGCAGACCAGCATATAAATTTTATGTTCATGATGAAGAAAGTTTAACTATAATTTAGTGTGATATTACAATTGAGCCACTCTCTAGGTTATTGGAATTGTCTTAGAGCTACAAAGGACATGAATGCCCTCAGGCAGTAAATATCTTAAGATTTGGTTTTATTTTGCATAATTTAGTATTTACTTTTATTTGCTGGGTAAGTTACATTTACAGTGGTGAAGAAAGCACTCTGGCTTCCTGATGAAAAGAAAAACAGGGCTGTATTAGAAAATATATAAAATACTGTATAATATTTTGGAAAATGTAAGGTAGAATGCATCCATGAAACCATGGATGAATTATACAACAAGATATCCTATACAGATTGCATTTTATATTATTATTAGGGTTCTTCAAGAAGGAAATACAAATTTAATGAACCATCATATTTACATAGCAAAAGTGCATTTGAGTGATCTGCATATTTGCAGAACAAATAAAATTGCAAACCTCTTTAAATATTTTGTCACAGCAGGTGGCAGCACCTGGCTGAGCTTGTTGGGACTTGAAAGCTAAGCCTGGTTGGTACTTGAGTCGGGGACTCCCAGGGAATTTTGAAGATGTAGGCTAGATTAGGAAGTCTTAAACAACCTGAAAAAAGGCAGTTGCAAGCCAGTTCTAGTAGCTGCCAAAAACCCGCATAGACATACCTGTGAAGTCACCAGGAGACAAACTCAACTTAGAGGAAACATTATCTTTTGAAACGGGTTGTTCCATTGACTTGTGCCATTGAAAATAATCGTTCATGACAATATGATATAAATTTGCAAGTTCTCTTGAGTATTATGTGGAAATGTGGAAAAATAACTAATCCCATTTCAGAACATCCATTGCCCAGTATTAGTGACGTTTATTTAAGTATTTGGAAAGACAGGAGTGGTATTTTCAGATACTACTTGAGAACAAATGAAATCCTAGCTACTTTTTCATTCTACCTTGCTTTCAGAAATCCGGTTTCACAGCAGAGTGTGCTATGGAGGTTGATTAGTCTACCCACAAATGTTGTAGCTGGGAATTTGAATGTGTGCTCTGTACATGAGGTCCAATGACATGTCTGCTACAGTCAACCACGTTGCCAAACATTACATTTGTCTTGTAGCGATTGCCATAAACTGTGTTGATGTCAGAGAGTTAATTCGGTCATTACATCAGATATAGTGGTTACCCCAGATGGAAGGGGTTACTAAAGAAATGCTAGAATTACAGTACCTATGTTATCATTAGTTTTCCATTAAAACTGAAATGATGGATGAAATGTCAGAATGAAAGTCATAATTGGCATTATTATAATAATTTTATTGCATTTTGTTGTGCTTTAAAACAGCATACATTAATTAAAAGAGAGCCAGCCTTATCCTCAAGCTTAGTTTTTTAAAAAAGGGTTACAAGGGACAGGAAATGAAGGAAGAAGGGAAAGGAGAGAGCAGTTTTTCAAAGCCAGAAAGAAATGTTAGCACCAGAGGATTGAAAGGGGCCAAGTCCAGACCCCCTGCTCAGAACAGGACTCCAGATGAGAGCATCCGAAACAGAGGACTGTCTAGCCTCTTCTTGAACACATCCGGTGAAGGGGGTCCACCATCTCCCTGGGTAATTGGTTCCACTGTCAAACTGTCCTTCCTGGCATGACAGTTTTCCTAATATTCAGCTGGAATGTTGCTTCCTGCAATTTAAATCCATTATTCTGTCTCCTGCCTTCTGGGAAGATAGAAGATGGCCAAGGCATGTTCTTTGTGTGATATCTTCTCCGGTACTTGAAGAATACAGTCATAGTCCTCCTCTTCTCAAGGCTGAACTCTCTGTTTGGCTTGGCTGTTCATCCCAGGATTTACTTCCAACACCCCTGATCACCCTTTTTGCCCTTCTCTGAACCTTTTCCAGGTTGCTTTGGTCATGGAATACATGGGCCAGAACAGAGACAGATGATGGGTGTGGCCGAAATGTGCTCCATTCAGCTTCCCGAACCCAGGGCAAGTCCAGATTGAGTTAATTATTCTGGGTTTGTTCATTGCTTGTCAACATAAATCAGAGACCCAAATCTCCCTATCATTTCAAAATTGTCTTAATCACGATGGAAAACCTTAGCAGGCATAAGCAGCATCAATTTAAGACTGGTACATTTCAGGAAATACTTTGCAAAGCATACAAAATGTATTTACAGTTTACAAAGGAAGGGAGATTAGGTTTAATCCAATCAGTCAGTCAGTCAAAAGACTTCAAGAAATGCATTCACATATTTCTGATGTGATACCTACTTTGGCCTTTATGCAAACAAGATAAAATGTAATTTTTCTTTCAATTAGAATTTCTTCCTATGCCAAAAACTGGACATCTCAACCCCATAATATGAAAGGAGAGGACTGTAGTGTTACTGTTAGCAACATCTACCATGTTGAGATTGTTTTTAAATTATTTTTCATGATAAATTAATGTGATTTGTGACACAAATGTTTAAAGCCTCCGTCAGATGGTGAGCACATGAATACATCCATGTTATTTTCTCAGCAGTAATAGTGAAGTGGTTGCCATTGCCTTCCAGGAGGTTTTCTTGGTTTCTCAATTCAGCTGAAAGCCGTGGGACTTACTGATGATTTTCCATCTAAATGCACATCAGATCCAATACTGTACCACCTTTTCAAAAGCAGACAAAATCAGCTACAAGACTGTGATTTTTGTGTTTAATAGAAAGTTAAGATTAGAGCTGTATGAGCTTTTTTGCAAAATGATGATCATGGAAAGAAAAGATGTGGCTGCTTTTAATTGCCTCTTAAAGCAGCCGTCTCATTTCCCAGATTATATAGAAGCCAGAAAAAAGATGTGTGAATCTCAATGAAGAGCTGAGAGGTGCTGTGCTTGTGCCAGATCTCAAGCACTTCTTCTGAATCATTTTTGTGGGATACTCAGCTGTGCTTCAGGCCCTCCCAATCTGATTTGTGTTTTTGCTACTGATCACTATATTTACTTACACTTTAGCTGCAATAAAGAAGGATAGTAGAAAAGCTCCTAAATTAAAGCTTGTCTCCTGCATTGGCCCAGTGTGTGGCTGTGAATTAAGAAAGCTATATGCACACGTGGGGGGAACTTTGTTGAAATTTTTGCTACAACTGCCTGGCGCTCTTAAAAGGCAAGCACATTTTCACTTTAACTATATTGGTTTAATCTCATGTTTAAACTCATGTTTCCTCTTCAGTAGACAGTGCAAAGTTCAGATGATTTTTTTCTAGATCATCACCATCATTTAATGCACCACTATAATTTAATACCTTGATGTAATATATCATTTAGTAAAGATTATTCCATATGTATTAATTTGGCAGCGTGAAAGGGCCATCATCAGATAAAGTAGCACTGGGTATTGGCTCAGTGAGTAGACAAGAAAAAGAAATAAACCTCCCCTTCTTCAGTTAAGTTTGCACAAATGGAGAGCTAATGTCAGAAGGTGTGGAAGGATGCAGCCTCAAACTCCTATCCATTAGCTTAGGGGATAACACCGCTGAGAGTTTGTATAAGATTGTGGTGGGATATAAATATGGTAAACAAAGAAACACAAGGTTTTATATTGCCTTCCATATATTACTGAGATATAGGCTTCATTGTCTCTAGTGCGCAAATAATACCTACTCTGTCTCTCTATTTTGTTTTGAGGAGGTTATCGAAGGCTATTCGTTGCTTGGTCATGGTAATGAAGTGGACATTGGGCTAGCATGTTGAAGCTGAATCCTGGCAAGACAGGTGTTCTTGGTCATTACTGCTGATCTAAGAATTGGGGTTGAACTTGTGTTGAATGGAGTGGCATCTCAGTTTGTGGTCCCTGGATCTAGCTTTGAACTTGGAGACTTGGGTATCGATGGTGGCCAGGAAGGCTTTTGCCTACTTGACATTGTCCATTTCTGGAGACTGAAGATCTGGCCACATATCAGGATAATACATAATTGAATCAGATCAGGTCTAGATTATTTTAAGTGCTTTGCATAAGGTAGTTTCTACAGAGTATTCAGAAAGTACAATTGGTCCAGCAGCCCATTTGTTAACAGGATTGGCCTATAGGAATTGTGTTAGGCTTCCAGTTTGCTTTTGGGTACAATTCAAAGTGACCTTTAGAGCCTAAATAGTTTAGGAGCAGGGTGTTTGAAGGACTAACTTCTCCACATGAATCTGCTTATCTGTTGAGACCATCTTTGGGTGCCCTTCCTTGTTCCAACAAGCCCAGAGATCTGGCTAGAAGCCCCTTTGTCAGCTGCCTCTTGACTGTCTCGGAGAGGTCCCTTTTGAAAGAGGCTGTTCTTCTTTCCTCA